AAGGATCCTGGTGTTATTTGTCTCTCAGAAACAGTTCATAACTTCCCTTCAACTCATTCATGTCGCCTAAAAGGTAATCATGTTTCTCCATCACCTGTTCAGCTCTGATGATCCAGTAAGGACATCTCCTGGTTTCATCCTCATGTTTCCCTCTCACCAGATAACCAAACCATATCATGACCAGCAGCTTTACAGCTGTCGCTCCAGCAAACATCAGCTGATACTAGAAAGTAATATTTGATAAATTCTAACAACAGCTGATCAAGCTTAAACGTGCAGCTGTTGTTTAGTGCGACATCCGCTGGTTTCCTGTTTCTGGCGCAAAGTGGGCGATAAACAAACAAGAGAGAAAAGCCGATCAGCCGATCATTGATCAGTTTCATGATTGAAGTAGAAACAGGAGAGAGAGGGGAGACAATGAGAGAAGAAGAGGCAGCTGTGCAGCGTAACGACAGAATAACTCCAGTTTTGTGTCTTTTCCATTCTAGCTGAAGTACGGGACAAACTTTGTTTCTTTTCAGCTCAATACGAAACGTGTAATACGAGACGATTACGTTTTTTACGGGACGGTTGGCAACTCTAATAATTAACCTTATGAATAAAATGAAGTTCACTATCAGTAACATCAAAGCACCCACCCAGCTGTATAGAAACTCCGTCATGCTAGCTAGCACGCAGTACGAGTTATTGTAACTGACTGTAAAAAGTCAGCACAACGAAAATAAACTAAACCGAAACTTGGTTTATATCTGACCCAGATAGACTGCAGGTCATAACTTCTTACCTCAAGTTCAGTTCACCTGACGTTCAGACCGGCGGCCGCCTCAGGTCTCTCCTCCTCCTGCCTCCCCTTTCTCTCATCCACCTGCTGGCCTCTGTGGAAGCCTCATCATAGCCACCACCAAGCAACTCAGTTATTTTTACACATCGGCCAGCATCTGGCCAATCCACCACCTTTCATTGTTTATACCGTTACAAAAATAACAACAACAAAAAAGCCATCGGCCATAAAAACGAAAAATGGCCAGTCCAGCTGTGGTCGGTATGAGGGAAATTTTTTTTGCAGTTTGTCTGTAAAGATGGACTTGCGCTTTGGGATCTTTTAAACATCATTAGGCGCGTTGGTGCTGTCTGTCCTGTCTGTGAGCGCAGAACAAGTTCACAAAGCAGCAGCTCGGGGATGAATGACGTCACACACATGGGTCCTCTGTCGGAATATAGGAAAACACGGACATTCTTATCAATCTCAAAAATACCCCCGGACGCCGTGAAAAGAGGACATGTCCGGGGAAAAGAGGACGGTTGGTCACCCTATTCTTCATTATACTAAAAATCAGCAGCAAAACAAATCCCAGAGTTTGTCAAGATGAGAGGTCAACCTTTTTCTGGTTTATTGCGCATACACTTTGTAGTTAAACCTAAAAGGTGATGGGAGACTCGCATGCTAGGAAAGTGTACATTGGCTCTGCTTTCACTATTCTAAGATCAGTCAAAAGCCAAGATTTCTTCAGAGCTACTTTTCGCCAACAGACAAGCTTCTATGATTTATTATTGTAACAGATATGTTTTCTCTTACTGACTACTTTGGCCAACATTTGTGATGTAGAGGAGTTAGAGTACAGAAGAACTTTTTTCTGCTAAAAAAAAAAAAGAAGTTATTCAGGTGTGACACCAGATATGAAAGAAAACCGGTTGGGATATTCAGGAACAAGCCAGGAACCACCAAGGCTCAAATCTGCCATGACCTGGAAGCTGCTGGAACACCAGCACTGTCCACATTGAAGCCAGTTTTACATCGCCATGGACTGTGAGGATGTCAACCAAGAACGAAGCTCCTGCTACAAAACTGACACATTCAAGCTTTACTGAAATGTGTGGCTGCCCACATGAACAAGCCAAATGTCTCCTGGAGAAAAGTTTGATTGTCAGACAAGACAAAGAATGCTTGGCCACAATGACAAGAGGTAAGGTTGCAGGAGTAAAGGTGATTCTTTCAAACCTTAGAACACTGTACTTGGTGTCAAGCATGGTGGTGGTAGCATCATGCTTTCGGGCTGTTTTACTGCCAGTGGTACTGGTACATTACACAAAGTGGATGGAACAATGAAGGAGGAGGACTACCTCCAAATTCTTCAACTGATTCTTCAAGCTGCTTTTTCTGGCTTTTAAATGTCCTCGGCACACTTTTCCTCCTTTAGCTCCACGGTATGTTTTTTTTTTCTTAGCTCATGTTCCCTTGTTTTCGGTGAAGTGCAGCTCTTCACAGCTGAGAGCCGTCGCAGGCTAAATGTACTTCCTCTTCTGCTCGGCTGTATTCCATATGCTTCATCATTAAAAGTGCGGCTGCTGTAAGGAGTCATGTATAAATGTTGAATCGCAGCGGCGTGCGGTGGCACTCCAGAGACGACAGATGTTAGTGCAGAGACAATTAATTAACAAGCGAAGGAAACCCAGGGGGGACGGCGGGGACAGTTTGGACGTCATGGTCACGGAGATCTGGTTCTGATCCTGTTCTGATCGAGTGGATCCGCCTGCAGTATTTTTTCTAACTTCCAATGCCACCACAACACAGACCAGATAATTCTAGATATCAGAATTTATCAGTTAAGGGTGAAAAATAACAATATAACCTCAGACATGTGACATGGGTGTTTTGTTAGCAAATGAAAACTTAAACAAAAGAAACTTTGGTTGGATAATAAGCCTTTCCACATTTTCAAATGCAATTAAATGATTAAACAGTTATAGATTTTATCTTAATAATAAATTATAATAAATAAAATAAGATATCCCTTAATGGGAACCTTAAAGTGAACTCATCATGCTCATTTCAAACTCTAATCTCTAAATAAAACTCAACTGAACTGAGTGTCTTGATACCTGTACTCTGTTAGAGTAGCTCTGCGTTGCCCTTTATATTTAATTATTTCTTTTACTTTCTTTTACTTCCCTGCAAAGTTTCATGACATTCAGACTGCAGACAGGTCAAGACCCTTGAAAACACTTCTGAGGAACAACTCCAATAAAGCTCACTTAAAGTTTCAACATTTGCTCCCTGAATGTTCAGTGACCTCCATCACCTCCCATCCACCTCCCGTCCTCCACCGTCGGACAGATGCGAGCGCTCCTGCAGTGCCGAATGCACGCTGAGCTGAGCGGAGTGTCGCTGATGGCGAGGCACATAATCGGCGTCCTGCATTACATCATAAGTAACCACAGCTGCAGGAAGTTTCAGGTCCTGACAGGAGAGGAGCCATTTATCAGAGACCACCACAGACCATGTGGACTGGATGAAGAAGGTGGCCCCACTGCTGCTCAGCATCACCTATTATTTTAACATCATGTAGCTGCGCACACACACAGACACACAGTTTGTCAGGGCTCATGTTTCTGCAAAGGAAACCACATTTCCCATCAGCCCTTTTGTTCATTACCTGGTGCTTACTGTGAGTGTTTTTACCATGATTTTGATACTTTTTGTGTCATCAACATGAACAGTCACCATGTGTCACGACACATCAGCAACAGCAGACTGAGCACAGAACCGTGTGCTGTATTATTAATGTTTATGTTTATTACACTCACTCAGGTGCCACACACAGACTGTATGTAATAGATGGACCTGATGAGGTCATAAGGTAAGTGTGGGGTAGGCAGGATGTGGCCAAATGTGACATCTAGCCTCTGTCAGGTTTACCTGTGGCTGAGATGAAGCAGCCAGACTTACCACAAGTCAACACCATAAGAAGGCCAAATTTAGCCCAAAATGCAGGTGTGCGTGACATCAGGGCTAAACCCTTTAACCAATAAGATGTATGCGTGCTTGTTTCTGTTCGTACCTGATAGTTAACTGATGATTAACTCATCATCCTATACATGGAATCCTGAGTGATGTTTAAGTCGTGTGATTACAGTTGAGTTTCTTGAGTAACACCTTATTTGGTGTGGATTTCTGTGCATAGGTTAGGTGGAGAGATTATAATTGTACCTGCTCTTCTCATTGTTTTTAATCTAGTCCAGCACAGACTCCAACACAAACTCCAAAAGGACAAAAACGATAAGCAGTCTGTTTATAGGACTTTGGCTTAGCTGCTAGCAAGCAAGCTAAAGGTAGCCAGCTAGTGCTATGGTGATTATCAAGCAGTTTGTCTGTGTTAGCAGGTAAGCTAACGTAAGATAATATTAGCCAGAAAAAGAACAGCATTATCTCATGAAGCCTGAAGTTGTGAATGGATAACACTGAATAATTTATTCTAATTCCTGGGCTTTATCTTGTAATGTTGCTAGCTGTTCAAATTACTTGGTCAGCTAACATTAAAAGCTATCACCAGATTGATGCAGCTAGCTGGCTAAATAACATTAGGGCTACAAAACTGTATCTTAGTCAAAATGCTTGTTAGCTGACTACTCAGATTATTTCCATGACACTAGCTTCATTAATATTGACTTTATCCATCAGTAAATCATGTGGCACAAAGCAAAGAAGTCTAACTAACATTTACTTTTGGCAATTTATGGTAAATGGCCTGCATTTGTATAGCGCTTTACTCAGTCCCTAAGGACCCCAAAGCGCTTTACACTACATTCAGTCATTCACACATTCACACACTGGCAATGGCAAGCTACGTTGTAGCCACAGCTGCCCTGGGGCGCACTGATGATTCCCTTTTTATGTGCAACTTAAAATGTGCACGAAGAGGCTCTTTATTCATTGATCAGGTGGGGAAACTTTTGGGTCAGCTGCAGGAAGTGTCATCAGGATTTTTACTGTCCCAAAGAAGCTTTTACAAATCAAAAAATCCTAATAGTTGTGATGAACTAGTGCAGATGTGTACAAAGGTTGTGTCTTTTTCGCTGTAGTGAAGCTGAAGATCGTCTGCAGCCCACATGCTGCCACCTTCAATGTAACTTGTCACTCCGAATTATCCTTCACCTCTGTGACATGCCGCAGGTTAACAGTCCAACCGTAAAGTGGCGGTGCTAATGCTCAGCAGCTGGCTGCTTTTCTGTGGTTAAATCAGAGTTTACAAGCTGGTAAGTTGAGCTAAGACAAGTGATTAATAAAGACACTGAAACAGAGTCAGAAATCAGTGTGTTTGCAGGCCACTTGGATCTTTTTCCCAACCCAGAAATAAACATATCACATTTAATCTGTTACAAAAGTACAAATCTGCATTGTGACGCACAAACAAGCTGCTTCATTTGAGATTAAATGCAGCAAAATGAAATAAAGACTACATTTAAGCAGTTGTGTTTCCTCCACAGCCAGCTGGTGTCCGTACGGAGGCTTCGACAGCACGGAGAGGATGTGAGAAACGTGGGAAGCAGAGGGAGATCTCCCGGGACTGACAAAACAACTCCCTAACAAAGGAGATATTAACCCGAGGAGGAATCCCAATCCAGGCCGTTTGAAGCTGACAGTTAATGAGAGTCTGCAAAAATCTGTTTACAGCTCAAACTGCAGCCTGGAATTAAATATTGGACTCTGTATGTGTTTGAGTTTAACTTGACATCTTTCTTTCTTTCTTTTTTTTTTGTCATCAACAATTTTTATTTATTTCATTTTAAACTTCAATAACAGAACTTAAGAATAACTACATAAATAAATAGTTTAAAAAACAAACAAACAAAAACAAACAACAACAAAACAAAACACAACAACAAAAACAAACAAACCAAAAAAAAAAAAAACCAAAGGAAAGTTATCCTATTCTTTCTTCGCACTTTCTTTTTTTTTTAACTGAAATGATCTAAAGTTGAATTAAAAAAAAGGAAAAAACAAAGATGCTGAAAATGGGGTCTGATAGTGGTGATTTAAATTTGTTCCATAGTCAGTAGTTTTGGACAGATTATCGTGACCTTGGGGGCCGGACATAAATTTGTCATGGGAGAAAAAAAAGAAGGGATAGCAGATGAGGAGAAGAAAGAAAGGAGAGGATGGGAAATAAGAAATAGGAAAGAAAATCAGGGAAGATGGAATGAAGGAAAAAGAAAGTTAGGAAAGAAACACAAAATTGGAAATGATTAAAGGTTGAAGAAAAGAAGAATACAAAGTCAGGAATTTCGTCCCGTTATAAATGATAGTAGGCATAGTTGTTTTATGGATGAATTTGAAGCAGTTTTATCTGAAACGGTTCAGATGTTTAATCTATTGCTTTCTGAGCATTGATTTGTTTGTTTTAGTGTCCCTGAACATGATTTTTTTTCCTTTTAAAAGGCAAAAACCCCAAAAAACTACACTTAGAAATACCCAGTTTTGAGTCTTACATGTCACAGTTTTTTACACTTAATTTGTAATAAAAAAAAATTTAATTCTAAAAATGTGTGTTCCTCACTCCTCCGTCAATTGCCACCTTACCGTGCCGATTGGTTTATGTGTCCCAATGATCGCAGAGGCTAAATTTCCCCCCAACAGAAGACTACATCACTCTTTGAAAAAACTGAAACCCAAACAGCCGTTAGTGATATTTCAGATGTGACAGCAGGAATTTTAAAGCCCCCTGAGGGACAAAAAAATTTAATTATAAAGCATTCAAATTATTGTCTTTCTTACAAACAGACTTCCCAAAAGTTGAATCAAGTCTATGTTAAACAACATCTTAAGCCTGGATTCTTTGTAATGACCAGCAGAGGGCGACACATTTGGTTATAAAAAAAAAAAAGTCTGGGTGTAGAAATCTGTATGAAAATCTGTACCTCTCTTTATTCATGAGCTCAGGATTCACTGTCTTGATGAATTTATGAGCTTAGTTCCAAATCTTCTTTAAAACAGTGTGACATTCACTTTGGCTCCATCAGTATTAAAAAGGACAATAAAACAGGCGATGATTTAAGGTGAGGCTAACCTTTGATCCAGATCTATCACTTGCTTATGACATCAGGTTTCAGAACACCAAGACAATAACTGTCAAAACATTAAGTTCAACTTAAAAAAGTCTCGAAATAAAGCGTGACTTTGCGCACCAATGTGGCGTTATCCATGTTTTTTTATTAAGTTGGTCACCAGGCTCATTCTACATATAAGCATGATTGTTTCCAGTGTAAAAGAAATATTCAAAGCAAAACCTGCAAGTTTTGTTGTTTATTTTGTTTACAGATCCACAGGATGTAAAAAGACAGAAATTTTTGTTATTAACTCTTTTTATTATTTTTACTTGACTCGGGCTGCTTTCCCATCCCTTCCTCAACCCTGGATGTTTTTATTCTTGCTGTATGCATTCATGTCATAACTAATAAAACAGTCTATCAGACTCTGGAAGGTGACAGAGGCAAACAGGCGGTTTGTTTGGCAGCAGGCTCGACTCCCGGCTGAATATTCATCAGCACCACCTGCCCTCCTGCATGGTTTTTAAAAGCAGCTTCAAAGCCACGGCCACAGTGTATGTTGGCTTCTTGTTCAGAGGACTTTATCCCTGCTTCGTCGGCCCTCACAGCGACCTCCGGTGGCCTGAACAGCTTTGAAGGCCTTCTACACGATGGTGCAGTCGTCCTTCGCTGGCTGTCTGCAGCTCCTCTAAACGAGGTCCTCTTCCATCCAGAGAGCCATCTATCAGGATGAAACAAATGAGTCATTACGGCAGCTTTCAGAGCGTCCCGGCAAGGCTAATTCTGCTCTTCTCCTGAAACGTGTGGGAGTTTTTAATATTGTGGAGAGGAGAAGAAGGTGTCATCCTGGGACCAGTTTGGCTTTTCATCAATCTGCCATTTCCTTTTCTTTCCTTTTTGGGGGGGTTGTTATTTTTCTCCCTCTCGCCTACACTGAGTGAGAAACAGCGATACAAAGACCCAGAACAAAGCGGTTTTTTTTATTGTACTCCACTTAAAAAATCAGCTCTTGTTGTGCTGAAATCTCAAAGGAAACTTGGACTTGAGAGAGGTGGATGTTTTTCCAATAAAAGCTCTGGGAATATTATGAAATCTCTTTGTTATGCACGTCAAAGTTTTGCTCGTTTTTCAAAGTTAGAGCATATTTTGTAAAAGAAAAGGTTCTCATCAGCTAGTAACTTAAAAGAAACCAGATCTTGCTCCTTTAATAACAAAGTGATATCCTCTCAGTAAAGCAGGCAGACATGAAACTAAACCATTAGCTGCAAATGTAAATCATCAGTTTGTGAGCTAAAATAGCAGAAAACATTCCTGTGCAATGCTACAAACAGACAAACTGAAAAATGTGTCGATATACACAACATATGCAAAATACATGTAGGTCACATTAGCTAATAATGCTGGCTGTTTAACCTTTTAGCAAATATAAGTGAAAGTTTATGAGCTAAAACAGTAATAAATAATCTTAAAAATAAAACTTAGAAAACCCTAAATAATAACTGGGTTTAGCTGGTTAAACAGTTTATCAAACACTGCTTTGGTTTATATTGGCTAAGTGGTTAGTTTTGGTCCATGTTAGATAATAGTTTGGAGGCATGTAAAAGTAAAAGCTTAGTTACTTAGCTTTTAAGTAAAGGCTTAGTTTTGATTTTTGTCAGCTAACTTCTTCACTTTTGTTTAGGTTACCTGAAAGAACATAATGGGGGTGTCCAAATTCATGGGCTGCATCCTCATGAGGCCGCATTTGTAGGCCGATTGCATCACAGTGATGCGACGAAGGCTGTCCAAATTCGTAGACTCCTCCGAATGCAGCTGACAAATGTGTCCTCCTTTTCCCCGAATTAGAAGGAAGGGTCGGGTGTATCCTTCGTGGGCTTCCATATCCCAGAATTCATAGTGTGGCCTAGCCGATTACAGTTTCCAACAATGGCTAAGTTTTTAATATTACTCTTATTACTCTTTCTGGGTCACAAAATAAACTTTTAACACATTTTCAGGCGAGAAAGTAGCTGTGTAAACATCAAATATCTGTTCGGTTTATCAAGGTATCGCATATTTGCAAAAGTGCTCCGACATTTTCGGAGACGTCTGCTACCCACCAGCTGGATAGCTAGCCAGGGGCTCGAGGGTCACTAGAGCTGCCGAGAACGGCACAACTCTCGGCACATCATTTTCAGATCACCGTGGCCTTTCGCTATTCAGGTTAAACGTAATATATAAGTCACTTAGACAACCTAAAAATGTTATTGTTGGGCTTTTTTCAGTGTTTTATTTGTTCGTGAGTAAATCGGTTTGGCTGAGATTAAAGTTATTAGATTAGATTAGATAAAATAAAACTGTATTAATCCCCCGGGTGGGTTCCTCCTTGGTTTTCACACAGCTGAATAAACGTCTAACAGAAAACTAATTAAACAGAAGTGTGAGACAGTCGAGAATTTACGCCAGTGTCCTGTTATATTTTAGATAGCAAGGAGCAAACGGCCGAGTTTATTAAACTCCACCAAGACAGCGGCGACGCTAATCAGAAGGCTAGACCGTCCAATTCCACAGCCGTTTACTTCCAGCCTACCCGACCTTCTGAGGACCCGGCCCACGTAGACCGTGAAGGCCGGGTCCTCAGGAAGATGCAGCCCATGAATTTGGACACGACTAATCATTCCATTTCAGTTTACATTAGCTAACAGCAATGGTTTACAAGTTGTAGTTTACAGAAGTTTTAGTTTCCCACAGTTTTATTGTATAATATCAATAAGGGCTATTTAATCTATTCTACATTAGCTAATGTTTTAATTTTTCTTAATTCTCAGTTTTGGTATATTCTAGAAAACAAATAATTTGTAGTTTACTTTAGCTAACCCTTTCTTTCTTTAGTTTTGTTAGCTAACCATTAATTTCTATTTACGGTTAGCAAAAAGCTTAGATTTGTTTTTTGTTGGTTAACTAGTCAGTTTTAATTTATGTTAGCTAACTTCTTATAACTTTTATATAACCTAAAAGTTTGGTTTTTGTTTACATTAGCTAACTGCTAAGTTGAGGTTTATGTAAACAAGTGTTCTACTTTCAGATTTAGTTTATGTTGTTTTTTGTTTGGTAAACGTTTAGTTAATGTTTTTGTTAGTTAACTAGTTATTTTTGATTTATATTAGCTAACTGGTTTAGTAGAGGAGATTTTACACTTGTAATTTTGAGTGAGATCACAAAGGTCTGACCTGAACTTGTTAAAGGTCTCATGTTAATCTCAGCTGAAACACAGTCCACATGTCAGCTCCTCCATCTTCATTACCATAATGCCTCAGTTATCACTGTGGACCAACTAATGTTTAACAGTTTCCTTTGTATTTAAAAATGCATGAATTAAAACAAATGTTTGTAGCGTGATAGGGCGAATGTCCATGTTTAAGAAAACATGTCGACACAACTGGAGAACATCAGTAACACGAGGAGGAGGAGGAGACGCTTCACTTCACCTTCCTCTGTTTCCTCTCACCGAGAGAAGGATTATAGAGTCTTATAAAGAATGACTTCCATCTGGACGGAGATGTGTGCGTGTGTTTGTGTGTGTGTGTCTTTGTGTGTGTGCGTTTGGGGATTTCTTTCCCTCTAAAACATCTGGAGAAACAATCTGCTGTAAATAAGCAGCACCGATTCGCTGCCACCCGATAA